GGCTGGGGCCGAGGCCGGATCAAGGTTGCGAGTCAGAGCGTCTGGCCATCTGGAAAGCGCTGTGTATTTGCATAGTTTATAGAAACACTCTTAGGACTTTAGGGTTACCTAGGTCTTGGCAGGGTACTTAGGAAAAGAGGTGTCAGGCTTGACAAATAGCAACAGAATGTACCCTAGGTAGAGAAATACGTCCTCTGATATACCCATCAGTCTTTCCCCCTTTGAAATCTTTATGAGGGTACTTGCTGTTGTACTGTAGGCTCTATCGATCCTTTCTCTATTTCGTAAAGAAAATGTCAAACAATTGTGTGTTTGGCCCCCCTTTTTTAAAATTTATAACTACAAAAACCAGGTTCGTGTTTCACAGTTTATGATGTATGCACAAAAGCTAGCAAACAGGTAGTTCTAGATTGTTTAGAGAAACTGAAGACGTGGGGGTTCATCGCTCATATGGTGGAAGGATGAATATAGGAAATTTTGCCTAGGCAACAGATTGGGATGAAAGCAGCACCCCTTTCTTTCTACTTCCTCCTCAGTACCAGCCCTAGAGAACAAGCAAGGAGCTTGGTCACGTTGTTAGTAAAATTTCAACAAGCCTCAAGGAGTCAGGGAGGAGGGCCTAGCCAGGCTGTGCCCAAGCACCAGGAGTCAGGGGTGAGTCCCAGTCACCGCTGGGAAGAGTATACATGGCCTCCAGGAAACTGTAGTGTGTTCCTACCAGAGGCAGGTTGCAGAAGTGGAACCCAGGAGTGACCTAGGTGATCACCAGACTACCTTCCAGGCAGCAGAGCCAGGCAGCTGCAGAGCCTTGCCCACAGGAAGCAGAGTGGGGAGTCTCGGGTCAGAGCTGAGATACTGGGAGAGCACACCAGGAGAACAGACACCAGGGGTTCTTCCTGGTCCTCCTGTGACCTCCCCATATAGCATTCAGACTTGGCTCTCTGTAAATCTTGAACCAACATATAGTGAATATAATATGATATTCTTATATCAAAACAAGCTGTATTAGATAACTGTTTTCATTCCAGTTTTACAAATGAGGAAACTGAGGCACAGGGAGCCAATTAACTACTTTAGTTTCTGGAGCCAGGGATTAACAGTGCCAGGATTCAACAAGAAGTAGGTCTCATACCAGTAACCCTGCGGGCAATCCACCACACAGGCCCACTGGAGAGTTGTTCATGGTATTCATTCCCTAAACCTTCTGTAGCTCAATCCAGAAGTTTGTCTAAATCGAATTATTCCAAAACTTTAAATGCCTGTGACTTACTCTGTCACCTTTTACAAAAGTCATCTTCAGAAAATTACCTATGCAGTTGTACAGAAATGGACAGCCATATTGGTCTAGAAATGTTAGTTTTTTTATTTTTATTTTTTTTTCCATGTGTACAGGGGTAACACATCGTACCAAATATGTAAGGTCACATCTATGTGGGTCTGCTTACAGAAACTAATAAAGTATTCTCTAAATAATGAAAAAAAGAATAAGATAAGACTATAAGAGCAAGATGCAATTCAAATATGTTCAGGGACCATTTTCATCTCCAGAATTAAGGATTATTTTAATGTTACATCATTGCCTTTTCTCTTTTACTATCCTTTTTAGTTTTATTTTAGGATTCCCTATTTTTAATGTTCATACAGAGATTTCTTTAACTGAAATACTGAATAGTTTCTTTGGTGTGAAACACTATAATAGTACACAGGATCCTAATGAGATAATTAATAATGTGAAATAGGAAGTAAAGGGCTAAAGCTGTAAGGAAAGTGGGAAGGGTGGGGGAAAGGTAATAAGGGAGAGGAAAAAAAATATGAGAAACTGAAAAAATGGAAATAAAGTGTTTGTAAATGGGGAGGGGACGAGGGGGTGAAGGGAGGGCAGGGACAAGAGGAAAAAATGAGAATCAAGACCTATTATGTAAAGGTACAGAATCCCAATGATGAATGTAACTGTATTGTATACCTAGATTGTACCAATAACCTCAATAAAAAGAAAAAATAAGTAAAAAAAAATTACCTATGCAGTTATTGCTATGCCCTGTATCACATGGATCTGCAGCTTGCCAGAACAATTGGGCAAAGAAAAACCAAATCAGTTTCCCAAAGTTTAAGGTGCCTATGTTTCACCTGGGGCTCAAACAAGGGACAATTAGACAGTGCTTTTCAAACATTACTGTGATCTTGTTAAAATGTGAATTGTTTTTTATTTATATTAGTACGTTTGTAGTATATAATGATTACTTTCACTGTGGGTACATGTACATAACATCTTAATTCTTTTTATGTCCCCTCCCTCCCAAGCCTCTCCTCTCCATCCATCTTTTAAAATACAAATTCTGACTAAGTGGTTCTGAGGTAGGCCTGGGATTCTGCATTTCTCATACGATTCCATTTGAGATCAGATCACACTTTGAGTAACAGTTCTCTGTACCACTGGTTTACCAGGGAGATCACAAACTGCCACTGCTAACAGTATCCTCTGTTGGGTGCTTTGTAATCAATGCAGGCAAGTCACCATCTTGTTATTTTGGCCATCTCATGCAGCTTAAAGGACTGAGACAGTTAAAAATCAGAAACCTGATGTCCAATTGCTGAGAGAGAGGAAGTTACAGGGCAGGAGAGAGGTGAGAAGGTGGTGGGAAGAAAAGAGAAGAGAGGAGACAGGTAACAGGTGATTTATCTTGCTTCTGGGACCCTGCCTAGGCAATTAACAATATCATGGAGGGCCAGAGACTTAGTTCAGTGGCACCATGCCTACCTCTCAAGTGCAAGGTCCTGAGTTCGATCCCCAGTACCCCCAAAAAAAAAAAATGTCACGGAACATTTCTCAAGTACCAATATAAATAGCATAAACAAATGAGAAAGTTGGGAATTAAGTTCAGTGGTTCCAGGGGCTGCTTCACAACAAATGAGAAAAATACAAATTTAATTCACACTGGAAATTGTTTTACAGTGATATTTTACTTCATGTTTTAAAATATAGCCTAAGAGATTTAAGGCCTTATTGCTATGATAATAAATGAGTGTGATGTTGGCACTATTTCTGACTTCACACAATGAAAGTTATGCTATTTCATTAAAATATCTTTATATTATTCAAAAGTAAACAATTTACTTAATAATGGTAAGTGAATTTTATTTTAAATCTTCTGGTTTTTTTCTTTCTTTCTTTTTGGATTGATTTCTGGAGGAGAGATCGAATATTGCCCTACTTACCTGGGAGATATGGATCTTGAATCCTAACATTAAAGCTGGAAGCCACTCTGTCACAAGGGGGTGACTTTGACTATATACTTCCTGATCCACTGGACCTGAGCATTTTATAAATCATTAAGAATCTATGAGAAAGCCTGCACTATGGGTTAATTCAGTGCTAAGAAAAGGTCTACAAATAATAACCAGGCCCAGAGGAGTGGGAAGGCGTTGAGAAAAAGAGATTAGGACATTTTGAGTTTGATGATGTATTAGTTTGGTAGAACAAAGGACAGACCTCTGACAATAATGCACTTAGCAGATGGGCAAAGGAAGACACTGAGAAGAACAGAGGTAGGAGAGAGGCCAGACAGGTATTGGGGCTGCAAAAGTCAAGGGAAGAGAGAGTTCCAAGAAAGAGCAGGGTGGGATCAATAGACTCATGCACTCCTGAAAAGTCAAGTAAAATGAGGTTAGCCAGGAAAGCAAAAATTACTGATCTTGCTGGATAAATTTTTCATTGCTATGACAAAAGACCAAGATAGGCAAATTTTATAAAGAAAATTTATTTATTTAGCTCACAGTGTGGAAGGCTGAGAGTCCAAGCAGCACAGTGCTAGCTCTGGTGAGGACCCTATGCCAGATGGCAGGAGAATGTACACAGGAAAGGATCACATTTTGTTGTTGTTTTGTTTTGTTTGGGGGGTTGTTCTTGGTTTATTTT